TTCTTCGTGGTCCTAGCAGCTCAGACATAACCTGGAGTTTCCTGTTTGGTGGAATAGCTCAAAGTTATGGCTACTCGGCATAACAGTGACGAAAACCGAGATGGATGTGAGAAAAGTAGATCTTGGCCAGAGGCCCATTTTTTTTCCACCCTCTGCTGAGATAATTTAGTAGCCAACAGCAATGAAGGATGTGAAAAGGTGTTGGGTGACGGGAGGCAATGTAAGGGAGGAGATCTTTCCCCAGCAGGTTAGGATAAAATAACTCATTGTACTGAATTATAGCATGGTTACTGTAGAAAAGGAGGCCACTCTAGTATCCATGCTGGCCACTTCGGATATGCAACTCAACTGGTGTCGCTGTCCTTTTTTCCAAAGCTCTGCATTGTTTTTGTCTTTTTTCTATGAATGATCCAATTCCTTTTTGAAAGCCCTGATTGGATCTGCCTCTACCACGGTTTCAGGCAGTGCCTTCCAGATTCCAAACAGACGTAAGGAAATTCTTGGGAGATCCATGCGTTGGGAGACAATAAAATCATTTTGAAATGTCCAGAATTATCGCTCCGTTATTATTGTTAGAATGTGGAGTTTGAAATACTGTGAGGAGTTAAGTGAGGGACAAGTTTAATGTCTCCTAAGAGTAGAAATCACACTGTTGAACAGTTTAACAGGACTGAAACATGGGATAATCTGATTGTGGTATTAGTTGTGCTAAAATTAGCTTTCTTTTGTCTCCCAGGCCTGGAAGAGGGGAGATAGAGAGGCTGTAATAATTTGAAGGTTTGAGATGTTCATTTAGCACCTGTCCTTTCCCTCATTGCCAGAATTCACACTGGAATCTAAGTTCAGTATTTGGTGTAGAATGGGTTTTCCCACTTGGAAAACTACACATGACTCACCAGCATTTAATAGGATGGTGAAAGATGAAATGGACACTTCTGCAAAAGTGACAGTGACTGCCAGATAAGCCTTGGAGGATTTGGGGAAAGAGAATAGCCAGATGTTATGGATTGTTGTGAAGATCCGTTGATCAAGACCCTCACTTTTCAAACTGCTCAAGGTCTCACCCAATTGTGCCATTAGCCTGTCTCATAGTCAGATGAAGAATTGGTCAAAGTCTAGGTTTTAGAGGGGACAGAACGTGGGCCTTGTTTCTCTCTCCCTACACCCTCAGCCATCCCTCCCCCACATGGTCATACCAGTGAGTCTGACTTTTTTCCTCTCTAATAGCTGCAACCCTTTTCTACTGAACAGCTCAATTTAATTTTCTTCCCTCAGTGCATCATTAACAGCAGAGTGGAACATGTAAAAGTTGTAGCATTAAGTGGGGGTGCAAATTGTCGCGCTAATGTGGATCATCTCACACGAACACGTTGCTTTGCTGCTACCCATTGGGCTGTAGTTGTATCTGGGGAGGAAGTGACTTTCTTTGTGGGTCAATGGGGCCTAAACACATACTTGTACAGCACCTTACGCAACCTCAAGGTCACTGAAGTTCCTTTCTTCTTGCGATAGAGGAAAATGCCCCACAGTTTTGGCTATTGATCACAGAGACGGGAGATCAGCTAATTTTTAATGATGCTGGTCGAGGGGTACACACTGGGCAGACTGCCCCTGCTCTTTCTCCTGTAGTGCCCAATAGGAGCTTTCCACCTGAGAGAGCACCGAAGGCCTCAGCAGCTATGACAGTGCAGCGTTCCCTCAGTATTATATTCCATTGCGTCAGATGGGGCAGGTGCTCAGATCTACAGAATGGGACTTCAAGTGGAATACTTCTGTGTGAGTGTTAATATAAAACTTAGAACCTTGGGGGGGAGGTGAAAGGTGTCAGATCAGGGCTTGATCAGAAAGCGAACCTGACTATTAATCCCGGCGATGTCTGTCTGCCTGGCGTTGGAAGATTGCACTCTTGCCATAATGCTGCTTTTCTGAGGTTTGAGGTTAATGCCTATTGTTGGGGCAGAGCGGAGGGAGATTTACTCTGCAGCAAATCTGTGTCATAACCGACGTGGGAATCTCTGGTTGTGATGCTGGTTACCTAACTTAAGAATAGAGATCAATCTTTCTGTTGTTGTTCTTGTTGTTGAGCAAGATGGCTGACCAGGGACGGGAAAAAGCAAAGTCAAGATGGAAAGGAATAATTAAATGGGACAGGAACAGGCTAAGAGAACAGATGAAACCGGTCACTATGCTTTGGGGGATTTAGGGAAGGAGGTGGAAGCAGGCTATGCAAATCTGGGGATTATGAGATTGCAGCGTGCGGAAGGAAAATCTCCAGTGGAAATGAGGTCAGGGACAGTACTGTATACAATGGCTTGATGTTTGGTAGTGAGGTCAGGGTCGAGCAGGGTGGTGGGGAGCGGTCGTGGTACTAGGAGGAAGTTTTGAGACCACAGTATCACCTTCATCAGTAGGTTTGATGACCATATTGGGGTTGGACCTGAGAGCACAGAACACAGGAAGTTCAGAATAAGACAGGTTGGACTGAATGAGGGGAACAGAGAAATTGAGATGGGCAATGGCATGCCAGTAGCTTTCATTGAAGAGAGGGTAAGAAGTCAGAGGGAGTGTTCCAAGTGGGGTGGGTTGTATAACAAGGGAAAGGACCCAGCTAGAGAGGGCTCAGAAGAGATTTACCAAGATGTTACCAGGTATGGAAGGTTTGAGTTATGAAGAAAGGTTGGATAAACTGGAACTTTTTTCACTGGAGCGTAGGAGGTTGAGAAGTGACCTTTATAGAGGTTTATAAAATCATGAGGGGTATAGCTAGGGTTAATGATAGGTGGCTTTTCCCTAGGATGGGGGAGTTCAAGACTAGGGGCACATTTTTAAGATTTTAAAAAAGACACGAGGTGCAATTTTTTTTTACATAGAGGGCGGTTTGTGCGTGGAATGAACTTTCAGAGAAAGTGGTGGATGCAGGTACAATTTGCAATGTTTAAAAGACAATTGAATAAGCACACAAATAGGAAAGATTTGAAAGGATTTGGGCCAGGAGCAGGCAGGCAGGTGGGACTAGATTAGTTTGGGATTATGTTCAGCATGGACTAGTTGGACCGAAGGGTCTGTTTCTGTGTTGTCTGATTCTGGCAAGGAGTTATAGTCACAAAGTAGGCACTGAGACAGAAGTGACAGAACAAGAGCTTGGAGCTAGATGAGCTCAAAATTCATTGGTGTGGGTGTGTAAAAGGATGGTGTCCTTTTGGGACTTCCCTAATGGCAGTTTCCTTCCCTAAAGGACATCCTTATCTGGTCTGGTCTACATGTGATTCCAGACCCACAGCAATGTTGATTTTTAACTGCCCCCTGGGCAATTAGGGATGGGCAATAAAATGGTGGCCCAGTCAGTGATGCCCCCGTCTAATGAATGAATTTTAAAAGATTTTAAATTATTTTCTTAAAAATGAAGTTGAGGCCTTTGCTGAGGACAGAGCATTCGGTGACAGAGAGGGGAAGGTCAGAAGGCATTGTAACTGACTGAAGGTCCGAGGAAGATACCGAGCTGGAGAGAAAGGGAGGAAAGTTTCCTGAGAAATGTTGTCCTCCATCAATTGGTGAAGCTTCCAATCCTTGACACCTGAAAGGAAGATTAAAAAGTGTTTAATAAACGCTGAGTGAAGTGAGGGACAGAATGAAGCTGTGAACCAAGACAGCTTTAAGTTGGAGGGTGTCCGTGTTGCTTTAGGGAGAGGGTATATTTGGCTGCGCATTAGCATGAACTGTGCATCATAATATACAGCTAGAACAATGGTTTGAAGAAGTCTGGATGCCTTAGCGATATCTTTAGCGAAAAACACGAAGGATCCAGTTGGAATCCGCTTGGAATGAGCTGAACATGGAGACGGTTGCTCAGGAAATGTCATTGTGAAAGCAGTGTTTTGTTTTAAAGTGGCTCATTAAACACAAGTTATTGACACAGAAGTGTCGATCGTGCTGGTTCATTAAAATATTTAGAGCCCACTCCCTCAGTTGGTAAATGTATCTTCTACTGAGCCACTCAGACTGGAGGTTGTTGGGTTTGATCTCTGATTCGGGATGAATTGGCCAAACTCAGCTTTGGAAGGAATCGGCTATGTTTTGATCTCTGGGATAGTAAGGTTTAAAGCTGGTACTCCCTCCTGAAGGGTGTGGGCATCGGATAAAAGGCAGTGGGTACGGGGTGAACAATCTGGGCATTGGATGAGGGCTGTGGACACCAGTTTAGGTCCAGATCAGGCAGGTTTTATGTGCTGCATCCATGTCCCCAATAGGTCCCGGGCTTAAGAACGGTCATGCTCCCTACATGGATCATCCTTGTCATCCCGGGCTATTGAATCCTTGCTCTATGGTCACGCATGATGAATGGGCACTGTGAAGAAGTCATGGAGGCCATTGGCATCCATGGGCATTGCCCTGGCCTTGGTTGCCACCTCTGGAAAAGAGATCCTGTTAAAGTTTGAAGAGGGAGAAGCAACAACAGCAAAGGTTTGAACAAGATTCAATCTCGCACTCCCTTTTTTTTTTGTGCTGTGTCTTCTGTGATGTGAAGTTAAGATGTAGTGTTCAGTTTCAAGTGCTCAGGAATGGGAAGGGTGACCCTGCACTCATTGATTTGCCAGACTAACTGGTAACTTTTTTTTTAATACATTCAGAAGATGAGGGCATCACTGGCTAGATGAGCATTTATGGCCTATCCCAAATTGCCCAGAGGGCAGTTAAGAGTCAACCACATTATTGTGGTTCTGGGGTCATATGTAGGCCAGACCAGGTAAGGATGGCTGTTTCCTGAAGGCCACTAGTGAGCCAGATGAGATTTTCCTTACAATCAATGATGGATTCATGGTCATGTTAGACCCTTAATTCTATAACTTTTTAAAAAAATTCAAATTCCACTATCTGCCATGTTGGGGTTTGAATCTGGGTCCCCAGAACATTACCTCAGTCTCTGGATTAACAGTCTAGTGATAATACCACTAGGCCATCACCTCCCATTTGTTTCATTTGTCTCCCTTTTGTTTTTGCAGAATGAAGCAGCTTGGAGCTCGGAGTGTCTGGCTTTCGACAGGGCAGTGATTTCTGGTCAACCAGCAACCCTTGGCAAGGAGCCATTCTCTCTCTCTCTCTCTCTCTCTCTCTCTCTCTCTCTCTCTTTCCTTCCTTCCTTTTTTTTTCCCCTGTTGGAGGCTGGGAGGGAGAGAGGGAAGCTCTTCCATCTTCGAGAGCAGGGGCAGCAATGGCGGGGGAGAAAGCCAAGCCCATAGTGATCGACGCCCAGAAGCTCGCCAGCCTCTTGCGGAGTGGTGTCGGGGCGACATTGGTGATTGATAGCCGCTCGTTCGTGGAGTACAACACCTCCCACGTGCTGAACTCGGTGAACATCTGCTGCTCCAAGCTGGTGAAGCGAAGGCTGCAGCAGGACAAGTTCTCCATCGCTGAGCTCATTCAGCCCTCCGGCAAGATGAAGGTACTGTGCCCCACTTCCTCTCCCATCATGGCACACGAGGGCAGGCCCCATACAAAGTGTTCTATCCTTGCAGGAAGCACCAACTCCTATATACTTCCTCTCACCTTTTTCTCTGTCTCCTCTCACTCTGTCGCTCTCTCTATCTATCTCTCTCTCTCTTTTTCCTGGCATCAGTAAATGTGGCTTTATTCAGTTCCATTTATATGGCATCCAATTGCATCTCTTGCCTAACTCTTGTCTTTCCTTCACCTCTTGGTCTCTCGTGTCCTTACCCTGTTGTCTTTATCCCTGTTTATCCCTTTCTCTTGTGCCAATTTGAATCTCTTTTTCAGGCTCTCAACAGCTCCTTCCAACACTGTCCCTCCTCTAGTTTAACCCTCTCTCTCTCTCTCTCTCTCTCTCTCTCTCTCTCTCTCTCTCTCTCTAGCTGATAAAAGTACAAAGAGTGAAAGACTGGATTAAGGTAGAGCTCTGAAGGCCTGCTGCAATTGGCTGCCAATGACATCATTGCCCTGGCCCTTGCGGAGCTAAATACTGTGGCAGATTGAAGGGGACAACACAAACAGCTTGCAGCCTGGCACTGTGCCTGTGTGATTGATGCGGGAGTGTTTATGGTTCTGCTTCAACCTTAATTGTCATTTTACCATCTTGAGCTGCTGAATATTTATTAAGCAGCGGCAGACCCTTCTCCCCTACTCCCCCCCCCCCCCCACCCCAGCCACAAACAACACGTCTACTCAAGTGTTCAGTGCTTTTGTCTAAATTCTCGATGAAGTCCCACCAGCCCACCACCCTCTTGCATTAGCCAAATAATCGACTATTCCAAATGTTAGTCTCCTTTTCTCCTCGGCTGCTTGAATTCATCCCGGCACTTGTTAATTAGTTTGTGGCAGTTCAGAATTCATTTGTCAGAGAGTGTGGAGGACAGAGAGAGAGAGAGAGAGAGAGACCAACAGCAGCTGAAGTGCAGCAAAGGTGCTTCCTACTGGAAAAGGTCTGCTCAAAGATTTGTTTAAAAATATCCACCGGAGATTCCATTGTAACCTCAGCTGCTCAAGGCACTCGTACAAGGTCTAAGGTCTGTTTTCCAATTGATGCTGAGATTAAGGCACTTTTAACATAAAGCATATATACAGATAAGCCCCTGAAAGAGCAAGGCTAAAATTCTGAGCTGTGACTTCTGTGTGCTGACTCTCCTTTTAAAACTGGCTGTTTGTGGGTCCCCAGTGAGATGGTGTCTCCAAAAGCTGGGCAGCTTTGTATTAAAGTGCTCTTCAATGGAGAGAGCAGTGCCTGGTCTATCATTTAACCTGAAGGGAATTGAAAGATTCGGCATTAACTGAGAGAGAGGTATAATTTCTAGCGCTGTTCAATAACTGCATAGTCTGTTCACCATGCCCACATACAGCAGTTATGGGGGTTTCTGGGTCAAGGGACAGAACCAGAGAGTCTAGTCATGATTAAAGCCAACCCTCTACTCTCTTGCCATCAATGCGTGACTCCTGCTAAATACTGGCCTTTAGTCTTCCACAACGGGATCCTTTCCAGGGTGATTATTCAGTGGAGAAGTAATTACCTTACAAGTTTAACACGAGCAGACATGGGGAAACAACAGTTTGCATTAAATCTTCATCGTTCTCAACCCTTAGCACCCCAGAATTTTCTTAAGCTTCCCTGTCCCCATGTAGAGAATTACAAGTGGCTCAGTACAGCCCGAACTCCAAGGTGCAGGGGCACATGATACTGTGACTTAAGGTAAATGGGGCAGTAGTAATGTCCCTGGGTCAGTTACACGCCACTCCAGGACCATGTTCTGGGTTTGAATCCTACCATGGCCAATGATGAATGAAGGTGATGGCATTGTTGCTAGACTATTAATCCACACATCCAGATCATGTTATGTGGACCTGGATACAAATCCCACTGCGACAGACTTGAATTTGAATTTAATTTTAAAAATCTAGAATGAAGAGTCTAATGATGACCATGAAACTGCTGTCAATTTAGCAAAGGAAATCTGCTACCCTTACCGGCTCTGGCCTAGATGTGACTCCAGACCTACAGCAATGCGAGGCCATTAGAGATCAGCAATAAATGCTGGCCTAGCCGTTGATGCATTAACAAATGTTCGACCATGCAAATTTTGGTGCAGATTTCTTTTGTTGAAACAAACCTTAAAAATATCAGTCTGTAACACCAAACATGATGGTGTGTCCAACCGTGTCATCCTCCGATATAGTGAACTGTCTTCGCCAGTTTGCTCTTGTCTTTTCAAAGGTCTGGGAGCATGGCTTGCACCAACTAAGTTTAGCTAGGGGGAGGGCAAAAGAAAAAGTGGCAAGATCAGTTACAGGCTTGCGTAATGAAGTCCTCTTTAATTCGCAGCATTCCTCAGTTTAGCAGCTTAAGGAGCGGTTGAAGGGGAAATAACGTCATGCAAGGCCCCCTCACCATGCCTTGCCCTCACCCTCTTACCCTTCCCACAAGATGTTTAAGGGACTGGCACAGACTGACTGATGGTTTGATTTTTGGTTTATCTACAATAATACTGCAAAGGCAGGAAAGCTCTCCCCTTGACCAATGAGCTGGATGAGTTGTAAGACTCCTGGCCCCCTACCCTCAAATGGACCTGTCCCGTTGCCTTGCTGATGTCGTTGTACAGGGCTCTCTCTTCACAAGCAGCTCTGGCAATGTTGGCTTGCAAGGATCAGCGGAGGAAGATCTGGAAAAAGAATGAAAATGAAAACGAAAGTTGTGAACTTGGGGCTATCTGAGTGCAGTACTACTGAGTGCTGGGCCATACACTGAGTGAGTCTTGTCCTTCGTAGTTTCTGCCCAGCAACTGGCCGTGTAACAGTGGCAGACTATCGAGACTGTTCACAAAGACACCTCCAGAAGTCACGCCTCAGTCACCTGAGCTGCTAGATGTGACATTCTCATCACATCTCAGCCAATGTCCGCTTCTAGAGTTTTTCATCTTTGTGTAAGTGGTGGGTGGCCGTGCTTGGAAATGTACCAGCCAACGCTGCTCTCCTCGAAATCAAATAATTATACAACATGGATCAAGACTGTTCGGCCTGTTTTAATTGCACAGATTGTTCCCTTTCAAACACTTTGCCCAATTCGCTCTTGAAAGTTATTGAATCTGTTCCAGCTGTGCATTCCAAACCATTACAGTTCCTTGTGTAATAAATACCTCCTCCTGCAACCCTATACCAGTTGTCTTTATCAATGCTCTTAACTCTGTCTCTGTTGACTACTGGAGCATCCAACCAGTTTATGCAGTATCACCTTATTTTGCTGAATGAAAGCTCTTCACACATCACATCTTTTGAGGACCTCTAACAAACCCCTCTCCTTGCAGTATATAAGGTTTTCAATCCCAGTTCCTGTAGTCTCACCACACATCACTGAAGTACCCAAATTCTGCTAAAAATGAGAACAGAAAATGTTGGAAATACCCTGCAGGCTAAGCAGCATCTGTGGAAAGAAACAATTAACATTTCGGGTAAGAACTGATGAAAGTTATAATGTGAGGCAATGATTCTGTTTATTTTCTCTCTCCACAGATGCTGCCTGACCTGCTGAGGGTTTCCAGCACTTGGCTTTTATTGCAAACTTTCACCATTTGCAGTATTATGCCTTTGGATTACCATTCTAGTAAACTTGACTGCCCTCGCCAAGCCTTGACAAGAATGCACACAATGAAGTCTTATCTTCTCACCGAGAATTTATATTGAAATATCTCTCCTTCAATGGCCGTCCATCAGATTAATTGACAGTCGCCTGTAAAATGGGCTGTCCCTCGTGCTGCTGATCCCATCCTCTAGAAGCAATTCATAGAGCAGCTGTAGTTCGAGCCATAAATATTGGGAAGACTGAAGCCATTGTTCTCAGTCCCTATGCCAAATGCCATTCTGCACCTACCAACTCCATCCCTAACCCTGGCAAACATGAGTGACTAAAGCCAACTGTGCCAGTCTTGCTGTTGTATCTGACGAGCCAACGATTCATCTGAGCCTTCATTTTGATCTCTGAAGCATCACATGACGATACCTTACCTCATCTGATGCTGAAACTCTCATTCTTATCCTTCAGTTTTATCTGCTCACCTGCATTCTACCCTCTGCAAGTCTGAGATCATTCAAAACTCTGACGACCATCTTTTTTTTGCTTTGTTAAATCAACCTGTTCAAATCTGCTATGATACATGTCGGCATTGAAACCCAAGTCTCTTGGACCAAAGCTAAGGGGATATTTTTAATCAATCTATTCAAACATGTCATGTTACACCTCTAGAGCCGGTGGAACTTGATCCTGGCCTTTGGCTCAGACCTAGGGACACCAGCACTGCAGTAGATATTTTTTAATCAACCTGTTAAGGCACATTATTACTCTTCTCTGGAGCACATGGGACTCAAACAGGACCTCCTGGCTGACCATGCCTTAACTTGCAGTAAGTCCTGTTTCCCAATAGTCCCTCACTCTTTGATTTACATTAAAACCATCCACCCATCCTGGCCTCTTGACGATCCTGGAATTCCGTCACACCTGTATTGGTGGCCATGCCTTCAGCTACCTAGGTCCTAAGCTCTGGAATTCCCTCCCCAAAGCGAGAATCATCAAACCTGTACAGTGTGGAAGCAGACCATTTGGCCCATCCAGAGTACACTGACCGTCTGAAAAGCCCACCCAGATTTCTCCCACATTCCCCCTGCCCCATTCCTGTAACCCACATTTCCCATGGCTAATCGACTTAGCCTGCAAATCCCTGATCCCCAAGGGCAATTTAACATGGCCAGTCCACCTCACCCACATAGGGAGAATGTGCAAACTCCACACAGACAGTCCCTCGAGGGTGGAATCAAACCCAGGTCCCTGGTGCTGTGAGGCAGCAGTGCTAACCACTGAGCCACTTCTTCCCTTCCTTCTTCCTTTAACCTACCTCAAACTATTAATGACCTGGCCAGATATCTCTTGTGCAGTGTCATGTTTTGCTT